CAACTTGGGCTTGATGCCTTGTATCCTAAGAAGTTTTAACTGTCAACTTGACACAGTCCAGAGTCATCTAAGAAAGGAGTCTAGTTTTGGAGGATTTCTGTGATCAGGTTGGCTTACATGAATGTTTATAAGAAATGTCTTGTTTGTTGATTTACACAAGTATATCCAGTTCACTGTAGGAGGTTCTATAGCCTGAACTTTTGTCCTTAGTGTTGTTCTGATAGTGAGCTGGACAGTAACATTCTTCCATGATTTCTATCCTTCAGGTTCCTGTTTGAGTTCTTGACTTAATTTCACTCAAAAATGGGCTATATGATTTATAAGCTAAAATAATCTCTTTCCTTCTCTACATTGCTTTTGGTCAGAATGTTTTATCATAGCAACAGTTTTGAGACTAGATATCTTGAAAGTCCAGTAACTACTTTCCTCAATTTCTCCTACTGTGGAATGTCTCTCCACAGTTCAGTCTATTGAGTCTTTGTGTTCAATCAGACATCTTGCTGTGACAGCTATGGCACTTGGCTCTGTGTTTGTTTGCCCTCATTAATGGAATTTTCTCATCAACGTGATTTTAGATAAAACACCAAGCCATTAATGATAGTTTAATTGAAGCTGAGAATGAGGTTCCTAGACTCATCCTGTTTACTTGATGTGCAGATGGAGGCTAGTTACAGGGGCTTACATAAAGGAGCAGTACTAGGATAGCCAATGTTAATTGCAAGGCTAAAGACTATAGCCATCTGTCCACTAGTATTAATCAGGGAGAACACTTCCATCCTGTATCACAGCAATCTCCCTGTCTTTTAGGTTCAGTGACTTGTATTTCATTGATGCTTCCACTGAGGATATCCCCTTCTTATGGTTGACATATTCTATAGCTTACAATTGCTCTAATAAAATGCTTTTTAAAATCCATACTAGCTCATTTCCTTTATAAAATTAACATTTTTAGAAATATTTGGGAGATCAAATCCATTCATTTGTTGTGTGGTTACTGTGAATCAAAATCTTGGGAGGCATGAGCCAAAAGAGATTTAAACCTTTAAACAGTCTGTCTCAGGCAAATTCTCATAACATCTAAAGCTAACTAATAAAAAATCATAATTAAACACTTGTCTCCTAATTCTATACAGATGACCAAAAAGTATAGATGTGTCCTCTGGTATATATAACATCTCTGTTACAAAACCACAGTGTGAAACTTTCACAGTTCCATTTTCTTTCACGATTTGATGCAGTAAAATGTTGTATTGGAGAATCATGGAATGCTAGCTCTTAGAGGGTCTATTACCTCTCAGTAACATTCTCAGTATGGGAGACCTTTAGAGCAGCTCTCCAGCACATAGGCAAGATCCAATATTTAAATAACCTTCTTTAAATCACATTAGACTGTTATGTGTGCTTGAATATGTGAGCATGCCTATTTTGGCAGAGGACTTATGGAACATGGAGAATATTTAAATTGTTCTAATATAGGAGAGTTGAAGTCCTTGTAACTCTTTCTACAAGTTTTTAGAGAAAAAATTGGCCTAACCTGTCCAGTATTTTCAGGGAAATAATAAAAAGTGACATATTGCAATCTAAATAAAAGGTCTTGGGGTGAATGCCATTTGAGTTCAACATCAAATTCATAAATTTTTCTTATAGGTGTTCAAGTCTTGAAATTACCCTATCAAGAAGTTTGAAGAGATTTGCTCACTACGGATTCCTGTGATAAGTTCTATCTTGATGATTATGGCCTATGAAATACTCACTGGATCTAGCATCAAGTCCTTGAGAGAAATGGGGTCCTTTATCTCTCTTGATACTTACATGTATGGCTATGTCAAAAAAAGAGACAAGGAAACTAATGCAAAGCAGACATTATACTCTTTCTCAAACTCTATCCCCCCAAACAATGGAATTCATAATCTTTCTATGTGAGGAGTTTATTTACTTTGGCAGCCTTTCTCTCACTTCCAGTGTAAAAGATCCTAAATACCTTGGAATTCCCGTGTGCTTGTAGGAAAAATTGTAAGTAGAAAGGTAGTAGACAGCTCTGAAGTGTCCTTCCCACAAGAGTCAACTTCCCTCTCAGACACAAAGATACAAGAATCCCTGACATAGTCATAGTAACTCTGGATACCCTGAGCCATTAATAAATAGTGTTGTTCGAGGCCGGGCTGGACTGACAGCCTCCAAAACAATACAGAGAAACCCTGTCTGATAAAACCAATGAATAAATAAATAAATAGTGTCACATTCTGCTCTACAGGCCACATCCTGAAAGCTCTTACAGCTTTCAGAAGAGATGGCTCATTAGTAAAGAAGGTTGAGCATCATGATGACCTAATATGGAAGTTCCTGTACATCACAGCCAGGTATGGCCACATGGACCACTGTAACCAGAAATCTATGAAAGGTAGTAACAGGAGGATCCTGGGTCTTGGTGGCTATGAGCTTAAATCCAGGTTAAGTGAGAGATCATTCCTAAAGGAATAAAGCAATGATATAGCAGGTGCCCTTCATCTCCCTCTCAACTCTGCGTAATATAAAGGCATATGTGGCCCCTAAATACACAGACATGCATACATACCTACACATACACATACACACACACACACACACACACAGAAAGGTTACTGAGACAAATGCCATTTATTTATGCATTATTTTCCCTCTCTCCAGAAGCCAGTAAGATTTAAATTATTTTCAAAGAAAGTTTGTTTAGATATTTAAGGCAAGAAAAAGTGATAGTGCTTGTTTGAGCTTTTTTAGCATTTCACCCTTTCCAGGTAGAAAAACCTGAGAACAAACAAATTCTTAGACCATTCGAAAAACACATTGAGAGATTCAAACTTTGCCAAGTGTTGGAAAAATTCTCTTGAGGAGAGAATTCTGACACAAGCTTCACGTGTTAAGCTACTCATTTAAATTTCACTTGGTCCAGTACTTAGGATATATATCTGAAATGATACAATTCCCCTTTCTCCTTTATAGCTGGGTAAGACAGCAACTCTCACCAGCCTGTCTCTCAGCCTAAAATGAGTGTTAATGGAGTAATTAATATATGTTTGATAGTACAAACATTCCTGGTCCGTTAGAGGACTCACTGCCATGGTCTGTAGCTCAGTGAAACTTCATTTGTGAACCAAGGTCTACAAACCTCTGTGCTACAACATCATACCAAGTAGCAAGACACAGCTCAGTGACAGCTTACATTTTTATTCTCCAAATAAGTGGAGTCATGGTTTAAATATTGTAGCTATGAACATGAAAACATTAACATTCAAAGTGAATACCTCACCTCTATTAGGAGGAGTCTAATAAATATTAGAAAAGTCCTCGGACTGCAGATTGACTCTCAGCTTTTACAACTTGATGGGATAAGGCCCCTCACTCAATATAGAGAGAATGGGAATATATTGATATCAGCTTCTTGACATTCTGCTAAGTGTTTCAGGTACACTTTTCTCATTACTGTCTGTCATAGTCATTTTTATTATTGTCCATGTATGTGTTTGTGTGAGGGAAGGTGCACATGCTCATATGAGCACACACATGAAAACTAGCCTTATGTGTTACCCTAAAGTGCACAATCTACCTCCTTTGAGACAAGGTCCCTCACTGGCCTGGCACTTACTTATCAAGCTAGGCTAGCTGAATAGCATGCCACCATGGCCTGCTTTTTATGGTGTCTTGGGGTCAATGTCAGGTCCCTGTGCTTCAGATATAAACACTCTTCTGACTGAGCCATCTCTGAAGCCTGAAAAGGAGAATTAATCCCCTGAAGCATGATCTGGCCTTACTTCTTGTTATATAATGAATAGGATACAGCAGAAATGATAGGTTGCCATATCCAAGATTAGGTTATGAAAAGATTATGGTTATGAAAAGATTATGGCTTCTATCTTGGGTGCCATCACTGTTATTGTTGACTGGCAATTTGACAGGATCTAGAGTCAACTCAGGGCACGTTTGGGGCGCGTTTCTACACTGTGTTAGTTGAGATGGGAAGACCCAGTGTGGTCGGCACCATTCTACTGGCTGGAGTCCTGGACTGAATAAAAAGATGGAAGTGAGCTAAGCATTCATCTCTCTTTGTGTCTGGACTTCAGATTCAATGTGCCCAACCAATTGCCTCAAGCTCCTGCCACTAGGACTGTGCCCACAAACTATGAGATGAAATAAATTCTTCTGTCTTGAAGTTGCAAAGAGAAAGCCTGTCTCAACAGGATAAAGTGGAGAGTTCTAGAGCATGACATGAAATGACTCTCAGTGATCTCCTTGTGGGCACTGCCCCACCGTACAGATACATCTGAGGCTTCCCAATGGCCTGACCAAACTGTGACTATTATATCATATCATAGTCTTCAATATTTAACCTGATTTTATCTAGTGTATTTGAGTAACAACATTCATGGACCCAGGCAAAAAGACTGTCATCTAAGCAGAGAATACTACATTGTAGTGAATTCTATGGTGCATGATGGTTCTTAGCACTTGCATTATTAATGTTCAGATATCTCACAGGGCCTTTTGACCACGCTAAAGATGATATGAAATGTGAGAGATCTCTACACAAGACTAACAGACCATTCCATAGATGGTATAGAGTGTGCTAAATACTCCTGGGTAGCAAATTTAGCTCCCACTTTTCAGATGATCCTATGGAGACACAATTGAGAGATTTCTTGAAGTGCACATGGTTAATTCAGACCGTTTCTGTTTGTGAGGTAGAGCCATCCCCTTCACACTTATAGTAAACTTGCCATCGCTGGGCCACCCTTCACCCCTAAGCATGCTTTGCTATGCTTTAGGCAGACATTCAACCTTGGTTAACTTAAGGTGAAGAATAACCATTCTAAACAAAAGAAAGAAGAAGCGAGGAGAGGAGGGGGTAAGTGAAGCAGGAAGGAAAAGGGAGGAGAGGAGAGGAGAGGAGGAAGAGAGAAAGTAAGAAAGGTAAGGAAGGGAACAGAGGGAAGAGGTGATTATGAAGAAGTCTGCAATGACTGTACCTGTAAGGATTTCAATTCCTTGTCCTGCCACTTTCTTAATCAGGAGCCTCAGAGTCCCACCCTCCAGCATGAGCATCAGGGTCCCTGAGCCTTCAGACAGCTCTGTGGACAGAAGCAGACCATCCCTGTTCCATGTTCGAAACTGGAAACTCACTGACAGTCCATCAATCTGGGGGGTGCCGGGCAGCAGCAAATAACTGCTTCTGGAGTTGACAAATGTGATGGGGACTATTTGTGGTTCTGAGCAGGAAAAAGTGACATTGCCCTGAAAAACAATAAAAAAGCAAACATATAAAAGCCATTTTTTATTCCACAATCTGACAGTCGGTATAAACAACCACCCAGAAATGACCTTAATTTCAGGATCAGTCCACATTCAGCTTCATGATTTTAAAAGGAAAAATATGTTATCTTTGCTTAGACAGGCTCAAGAACTGCTTCCTGTTTATGTTTTAAGATCTCAGTGCTATCTGTAAATTCAGTCCGAGATTCCAGGGAGAGAGAGGAGAAAGAATCAAGTTCTTCTAGGGAACCAAAAATTTTAACATAATTACATTAGCACTCCAAGAAATGCCAGCTGTGTAGTGAGTCAACCATGTGACAAACTCTGGAATAGCATGGAAAGCAATGCACATAGGAAAATACTGTTACAAAGAGGATTTTAACATAAGGGAAATTGGTCCTAGCTCCCAAGGAAGGATGACATGGAACAAAAAGAGACATGAAAATGTTTTCTAAGCAAATGACACTTTCATGAATATGAGGTGGGCAAGGAGAGGGAGGAGTGTGCTTGGAGTGTAATTGTCCGCAAAAAAGTAAAATGTTGGGGAAATTAGAAAAAGGACTTACTTGGGAATAACAGAGAAAAGGAAGAATTTTGAAGGTATAGTAATTCCCAAGGACAGAGATCAGGAACAGAGAACAACTCTAAAGTGATGTCAACTACATTTAAAATTTATTAAAATTATTTGCAGTTACATGGAGTAGAAAATGCAGAAGAGGGTTGAACCTGAGAAATACGAAGAGTGTATTAGTGGTTGGGAAATGGTGGCACAGGCTTTTAATCCTAGCACTAGGGAAGCCGAGGAAGGTTGATCTCAGTGTGTTCCAGTTCAGCCTGGTCTACAAAGTGAGTTCCAGGACAGCTAGGACTACTACACAGAGAATGCCTGTTCTATAAAAACCTACAAAGAATATATTAGTAGAGGATGGAGCTCACTTTGTTGAGTGCTTCCCTACCATACACAAAGCCCCTAAAAATCTCCAGCAACACATAAGCCAAGCATGTTGCTGCACTCCTGTAATATCTGTCCTCAGGATGTTGAGGCAGGAGTATCAAAACTTCAGTATCATCCAGGGCTAATTACAGAGTTTGAGGCCAGCCTGGGCTACATGAGACAACAACAAAAAGAATCAGTTTTGACTAAAGCAGAGAAAGCAGTAAGCAAATTATTATCTGCATGGATTCTTGTATATCCAAGCCCACAAAATAAGTTCCAAATTAGGAAGTTATGATGAATTAAAGAATGCATTTATGTGTTCAGCACCACATATTGACTGTATCTATAGAGAAGAAAGGATGGCCTCCTATTTGAATAGTGGAAAAGGGTTCTTTTTGAAAGCTATTTGATGTTTGGTGACAAACTCTACATCCAGACATGTCGTATCTTAATTTGCACTGCATATCTCCTTTAGGCTCTGAAAATGAATCTCCAAAGAAATGAATGTCACTCTGCCAATGCCATTCAAAAGTGCCACACATCATATCCCCTGCAGATGTGTCCTTCCAAGGCCATTGAACAGTAGCTTTTGCAAGATAAGGCTCAATTTCTCTGTGCCTTCTCCCTAAGGCAACACCATTTATGGAAACCAGGAAGTGCTGCTCAGGGAAGCATGCTATCTGGAGCAGCTGCTGGAAATTAATTTCCACCCAGGGTCCAAGTGTCAGAAGGAGATACTTAATGCAAATCACAAGCCAGAAATCTAACCCAAGGCAGAAATTTCAAGGAAAGACATCCTTAGACCTCAGATTCAGTGGGTAAGCACTTGCTATGCAAGAATACCAACCTGAATTCAGATCATCAAAACCCAATAACAACCCATATGTGGCAGTTGCACTTGTAATCCCAGAACAAGCAGGTGGACACAGGCATGTTATAGATATTTGCTCACTAGGCAGTCAATGTAACCAAATAGATTATACCAGCAGCCCTCCTCTCCTAACTCAGTGTCCCCAATCTGCTTCTTTCCTCATCATTATATCTCACCTCCAAACATGGACAGAAACCTTCTGCTGTATCTAAGGCCAAACTGCCTCACAGGAAGGAATTCAGTCCTCAATTGTAACTGAGACTTCTTGAGGGAATCACAGATCATGTCAGCTGCCAGAAATCTAGACCACAAAGACCAGAATACCAAAGAGGAAATAGAAACTAGAGGAGTAAGACACCTATCCAACAACGAAGAACTTAGAAATCACCACATAGCCCTAAAACTGTTCCAAATCCAGATGCCTAAATGCCAGTTTAAGAACATGATCAACAACAGCCAGAGCAATATGGTGTCACCAGAAAACAGGAATCCTATGACAGCAAGACCTGAGTATTCCAAAGCAGCTGAAAAACAAGACAATGATCTTAAAGTAAACTTTGTGGAGACAATAGAAGTCCTTAAGGTAGAAATAAAAAATCCTTTAAAGAAATTGAAGAAAATCAGGCATAGTGGCACATGCCTTTAAACCCAGCACTCCTAAGGCAGAGGCAGGTAGATCTCTGCGAATTTAAGGCCAGCCTGGTCTACAGAGAGAGCTCCAAGACTGTCAGGGCTCCGTTATACAGAGAAACCCTGTCATGGAAAACCAAAAAGGAAAACAAAGAAAGAAAGGTGAAAAAGAAAAGAAATAGAGGAAAAGACAAATAAAAATTGCAAGAAATCAATAAATACCTTACAGAATACCAAGAAAGTCAAGAAAACAAAAACAAAACAAAATAGGTGAAGAAAAGTATTCAAGATCTGAAAATGGAAATAGAAGCAATAAAGAAAACAAAAACTGAGGGGATTCTGGAAATGAAAATCAAGGTAAGGCAACAGTTATTGCAAACACAAACATCACCAACAAAAATAAAAGAATACAAGAGATAAAAGAGAAAATAGAAAATCTCAAGTGTTGAAGACACTTTAGAAGAAACAAATTAATTGTTCAAAGAAATTTTACATCTAAAATTTCCTAACACACAATATTCAGGAAAGATTGGGCACTATGGAAAGACAAAAATGTATGAATAACATAAATAGAAGAAGAATTCCAGCTCAAAACCCCAGAAAATATATTAATAAAATTATAGAAGAAAATTTCCTAGCCTAAAGCAGAACATGTCAACAAAGGAACAAGAAACATGCAGAACAACATATAGATTATACATGAAAAGAAATCCATGTGCCACATAATAATCAAAACCCTAAACATACAGAAGAAAAAAAGTATATTAAAAACTTCAGGGAAAATGATCAATTACAATGTGAAGGGAGACTTATTAGAATTATACCCAACTTCTCAACAGAGACTCTGAAAGTCAGAAGGACCTGGAAAGGTGTCTTGCAGACTCTAAGAGACGACAGATGGAAGCCCAAATGACTGTATCCAGCAAACATTCAGTCACCATAGAAGAAGAAAACAAAATATATGGTGAAAAGTCAAATTTAAATATTATTTATCCATAAATTCAGCCATATAAAAAGTACTAGAAGAAAAACTCCAACCTATTGTTAACTAGTATCATGAAAACAAAAGAAATAATGTCACATCAGAAAAACCCAAACAAAATTGATTCCAGATCAGAAAAACAATTTAAATGACCTATAATCACTAAGGGAAGAGAAGCAGCTGTTAAAAGCCTCCCAACCAATAATAACTTAGGGCCACACAGACTTAAAATAGAATTCTAGCAGACTTTCAAAAAAAATAAATTCCAACACTTCTCAAGTTATTTTACAAAATAGAAAATGAAGGAAAATTGCCAAATTTATTTTATGAGGCCACAGTCACCATGATACACAAATCACACAAAGATTCAACAACAAAAGAGAATGACAGATCAAATTCTATCATGAATGTCTATGCAAAAACACTCTACAAAATACATACAACCAAAATTCAAGAATACACCAAAAAAGATCATCCACCATGACCAAGTAGACTTCATCCCAGAGATTCAGAGACAGTTCAATGTACAAAAATCTGTCAATTTGATGCAGTATATAAAAAAACTGAAACAAAAAACGCACATGATCATCTCATAAGATACTGAAAACAGTCTGTGACAAAATCCAACACCCCTTCAAGATAAAAGTCTTGGAGAGATCAGGAATACCAAGGACATACCTATACTAAATAAAGGCAATTACAGCAATCATCCGGCATCTAATTAAATGGCAGAAACTCACAGCAATTCCACTAAAACCATGAACAAGATAGGGCTAACCTTTCTTCCATTTTACAATATAGCACTTGAAGCTCTAGCTAGAGGAAAAAGACAGGTAGAAGATATCAAGGGATACACACTGGAAAGGAAGAAGTCAAAGTATCCTTATTTGCCTATAATATGATAATATACATAAGGGCCCTCAAAAATTCTACCAAGTGACTCCTACAGCTGATAAACACCATCAGCAAAGTAGCTGGATACAAGATAAACTAAAATACAAAAAAATCAGTAGCCCTTGTATATACAAATGACAAACATAGCAAGAAACAATTTGGGAAACAACACCCTTGTACCAAACAGCCACAAATTATACACCAATCCAGCCAGATAGCCTTCAACGTTTAGTTGGTCCTCACTGTATAGTGTTCTGGGACCACAGCCTAGGAGAATTGTTATCAAAGATATCAGAGATTTCATCCAGCATTTGACAGGAGCAGATGCAGACTCTCACAGCCAAATATTAGGTGGAGCTGGGGATATGGGGGAGAAAGAATCAGAGGAACCAGAGGGGACAGGGACACCACAAGAATATGACCCACATCATAGCCTGTCTGGGATTCATGGGGTCTCACATAAATCATGGAGCCTGTAGCAGTCTGACATAGGAACTTTGCACATATGTTATGGCTGAGTAACTGGATGTTCTTGACAGATTCCTAAGAGAAGGATCAAGGACTCTCTCTGATTCTTTTGCTTCCTCGTGATTCCAATTTCTTCCCACTATGCAGGAGGATACAGTACATCATGGCAGGAAAGACATGACACTAGGTGTCTTCATTAG